GCACGAGGAAAAACAAAAAACGATAACGTGTGGAAACACCATTTGAAGGGGCTCCGGGTTTTTAGACAGCCTCATGGATAAGTTTCAGGTTTACCCATTAATATCCATTTATGAAACATATATAGTAATTGATTATGAACCATAATAGTTCATGATTATATAATGGTAGTTGGTAGATTAATTTGGTAGTAAATTTTCATTTTGGAGAGTTTCAGGAATTTCACTCACCATTTGAGTCATTTGAGAATGGTGGCATTGGGGTTACCTGGTACCGCGCCGCTCAGGAGAATTTAGCGGCCTTTGAGGCGCGAGTGACATTTGGGGTCCTTGGGTGACCCTAGGGGTGAAGCTGTGGTGAATAATGGTGAAACATTGTTGTAAACATGTATAATATTGTATAATAATGGTGATTAATGGTTATAAATAGTTACAATAGGTTACTGTAATAATGGTGAATAATTGCTAGTCATGGTCAATAGTGGTCAAGAAAAGTTATTAATAAGTATACATGGTATAACCACGGGATTATTACCTTCATAGGTTGGGGTAGAACCACTACGACTATGGCTACAGAATTATGCATTTATTAGTGGAACAGCGCCCACGAGCATTATTTTATTACCCCATCATGAACATTTCGATTTTGCAGCTGATCGTAAAGAGTTCATGGAAGCAACCCTCCCATGATTTAAAGTTGGGCCTTGTACTTACTCCGGGCTTAGTCATGTGCGGAATTTTGTTTGCCAACAATTACCCCCAAGAGAATTAAAACAGTTGTGCAGGTAAACCTATATCAGCTCAATCTACAATTTGTGTATATATGCATATACAGATATGCTGTAGTAACAAACGGTTTTATATGGAATCCGAAAATGAATAGATCTAGCACATGCCACAAGGGTTTGGGGGTGTTTATTCCAGGGGATTCCAGGGGGAATGATTTCATATGATTTCATGTTCCAGGGAATTTGCCGGAAAATACCCCGAATCTCATTGTTTGTCATTATATTGTCCTCAAAGATTGAACCTTTTATGGGCACATGCTTTTTTGAGACCCATAGCGAGGTGGCCCCAGGGGCCCCAGCTATAGGTTCACAATGCCATCCAACTGTGGAAATCTCCACCATGCTTCATGAATGGCCCTGTCAAAGAACTTGCCTGTCCAGCATGAATTGACCTGACAGGAGACCAGTACAGCGTCAACGCTTCAGTTGGTGAAGCGTTTGGTGGCAGAAGAACAGCTGCGACATGCCCTGCCTTTGCAAACGGCGCGCCAAACCTATGCTGTGCGGGGGGAAGCTGAGCAAAAATTTTGTGGTTTCCCATATCACAAGGTGGAGCCCCCTAGATAGTAAGCTGGATGCGAGCTCGTATATATATATATATTATAACTACGATTGACTAGGGTTTATGGTAGTTCTATAGTTGGTGGTGTTTATAGACCAACTTACAATTAACTAGGGGGCCCACCTTGCATAGATGTCCTTTTACTCACTGGCTGGCCCATTACTAGAGGATGCAAACCCCCCAAAAAGCAGCAGGCATATGAGTATAAATAATATACCAAACCAGACCATACCAGACCCATGATTTGTCCAAAAGAACATCATTGAATCATTGCCCAATATGTTTCATGTTTCCTCCCAACTGGGATGATGATCCTACAAGTAAATTTTGAACCCACCAAAAAGTGAGGTCTTGTTTGCTGCAGCCCCCAAATTCGTTGGGATACAGATGGATATAGAAATGATTGACACACACACACATATATATATATAATCAGATGACTGCTGTTTATGAGTTAATGAGTTAATGACTATATGTTGGATGTTTCTTGGGGACGGGGTGGACTGCACCACTGAGCGATAGACTATAGCCTCAGATCAATAAACCTTTGACCACTTTGTCGGTGAACGTCCCTATAGATCAGCAGCCAACCCTTATCCTCAAGGCACCTGGTTCCAAGGAAAGTATACAGGAACTCAATGGTTTTACCATTTACCGCCTAGATTTTAGAGGTAAAATTAGAGGCGTCCCATACAATTCGACTTGCGCAGTGGATTGGGCTGGGTACATCCCACGGCAGGCGCATGGCCAAAGTTTCCGTGCGGTTGCAAAGATGCTGATGACCCACAGCTACAAGGCGTGGCGACCCGTGACAACCCGTGCGCTCAGCACGGTTGGGACTCTGGCGATTTTGATGGGATAAACTTGGGTAAAGCAAGAATAAACCACTCATGTGGAAATGGTTTATAGAACCTATTTATGGTGATTTGATGATTTGATGTGATTTGGGGATGGTGTATTATTGTTTCATAGACATTAATTGGTAAATGCATAATATAGTGGGATATAAATGTGAACCATTCTTCTTAGAAGATAAAAGCAGCGACCACAGATCGCGACGTCACTGATGGGGGGAATCATCCCCAAAAGGCAATGTGTTTCAGCCAGAAGATGCCAGAACCATGAAGAAAGATTTATACCCTCTGGCACTCTGGTAATCAAACTTGGCAATGGAACATCCCCCATAAATGAAGGTGTGTAATGGGAAAATCACCTATCAATGTAGGAATTCCCATTGCCATGTTTGATTAATTACCCGAGGGCACATGTCCAAAGAGCAATAGTTATTTAAAGGTGTGGGTTATATCCGGGTCATAGTTCCTTAATAGAATCATGGATTTCCAGTTTTGGGAAGTTCCCTTTGATCCATGTGTGTGTGCCGTGTCTGAACAACAAGAACAAAAAGGATGTGTCTGACAATGTGAGACCCAAAATTGGGTATGCGTCAAAACCATTCAAAACCCATTATTACACCAGAAATATGTGGGAGATGTTCACATCTTTGCCATCATTTGCCAGCTATCTTAATATTAAGGGGTACCGGGTTTTGATTCATCTCCCCTCTGGCGGAAAGATGGCCCTGGGTCTTTCACCAGGTGTGGTACCTAAGGGAGGCCTTGCAGAGGGCCTTGCTGCAGCGCGGCATCTTCGAGTGGCAGGCGCTTCGCGAGCAAAGCGAAAGCCCGGCGGAAAGGTGTGGCCGTGGGGCCATGATTGCGGGGATATATTCATCATATCACCCCCAGCCTTGGATAGGTAGTTGAAACCTTTAGTTTAACATTGTTCAGATTTGGGGATGATTCTAGCTTCACAATAGTTTGGAGTGAGGTATCCTTTAGTTTTTGATGTTGTTTGGCTCTAATGGAAAATCACCATAAACAGCAACAGATTACTATTTGGTGGACTACCAAAAGGTTGACCTGGGAATATCTGAAATGGACTGGCTATGATTTGAAGAGATATTGGGATAGGATCTTAATGGAATGCCATCCCCCGATCTTAAACACCACCATTCTGTGGTCCCCTATTAATGTGTAAATCCCCTACATCCACCATGGTTTCCTGGGAATGTTTATTATTAGGGGGAAGGGATTAAGGGGATCACTGTGCCCCCCAAATCGTGATGATGTGCTACTTGAATGGTACCAGCCCAAGTAAACAGCCCAGGGTCCACACAATATCCTAAATTAATGTTTTGTTGAATGGGAAAAGTGTTGGAACATTATGATAAACCAGTAGATTTGTTGTCATGGAAGGGGATATAAACTGGGATGATGATGACGATGACGATGGTGATGATGGTTATGATGGTGATGATGGTGATGATGGTGATGATGGTGATGATGGTGATGATGGTGATGATGGTGATGGTGCTGATGCTGGCGGTGGCGGTGGCGGTGGCGGTGGCGGCGGTGGCGGTGGTGCTGATTGCTGATGCTGATGCTGATGCTGATGCTGCTGGTGGGGGTGGTGGGGGTGGTGGTGGTGATGGTGATGGTGATGGTGATGGTGCTGGTGGTGGTGGTGATGGTGATGATCATGATCATGATCATGATCATGATGATGATCATGAACATGATACATGATACATGATAATCAATCATCAATCATCAATCATCAATCTTAAAATTCATAAAAATCATAATCATAAATCGTAAATCATAAATCATAAATCATACTTGTACATGTGCGAACTGAATAGAACTGAAAAGAGCTGAACAATTATCCAACTCGACGAACATGCCAAACTTGCTGAGGCAATTTGGCATGAGATTTTTGGTGCACATATAAATGAATAAATGTAATATTTGAATATATATGTATATATGTTGAGGGAAACTGGGACAATGTGGAAACATCAGAGAATTTAGCTGTTATCAAAGTGGATAGATGGGTGGATTAGAGTATTACATGTCACTCGGATTTAGAGGCAGCAAATGGAAAATCATTCGGAAACATTATTCGGAGTTGACCCACCCTTCTGGCTGGTGGTTTTTTTATCTTTGAAGTAACAGTTGTGTCCATTTCGGGAGGATCCCGGAGTGGTGGATCGTAAAAGTTGTGTTGGAAGAGGGCGTTGGCTACGGCAGATTGGTAGTTTTTTAAATCGTTTCATGCTCCATTTATGTATCGAATAAATGGGATTTTGGATGGGCAACCAAATTCTGCCAATGCCATTCATGGCATTGGCAGAAGCTCTGGTCAGTTGAGGTCAGGCAACATTTCAGCTCCGACATGTTCTTGTTTGGGCCTGTTTCTGTTTACCATAGTCGCATTTAACATGTGAATATATATATATATATTGTTGCATATTATTACTGTATATGTCCCACGAAGTGTGAAACGGACGAAGTGATACACTCTTATGAACGCGGTTACAGCAATGTGCTTTTTTGATGAAAATGGTTCGTTGGTTGCAGCAATTTGTCTGAAACATGATGAGTTATTGGCAAAGATAATACATACTAGTATGTTTATATTGTAATTGCATTTGCATCCATACACTTCTTACTGCATATATGATTTATATATATATATATGTACATCCATATGCACATATATATATATATATGTTTACATATATATATATATACACATAATTATATATACACACTATACACCCAAACAAATATATATATATATATATGCATATAATATGTATCCATACACACATGTATACCGTATATATGTCATATGTCAGTCTAGACGATGCATGCCTCTCATCACCTCAGGCAGGGCCGCTTGGATGATTTCTTCGCCTCCTGGAAAGAGAGCCCTCGGAAATTTCATCCACAAGGCACAGGGGTTGTGGCTCCAAGTGTGTGATGGCATGTGGATCTACAGGGAGATTGAAGTCTTTAAACGTCTATGCTTCTATGGGCCAATCTATGGGCTATAGATGAATTAAGGCTAGAAATCAAATTTCCACAAGTTGGAAATTCAAATTTCAGCTTTTCCTGTGCGCAGTGCATTGCTATGGTGTTCTCAGATGAACTTCAAATTTTAGATGTCTGCGCATTATCATGCTACTCTCGTGGTTGAAATTCGAATTGTTGCTTCAGTATGAGTCCTGTTTAGATGTTCTAGTCATAAATTCAGAAAGGTGATGTTGTGCTCTTTGCTATTCACCAGAACTATGTGATTCACCCATACCCTCTGGTAAACTAACATAGCTATAGAGCAAATCACCATTTTTAATAGGTAAATCAACGAACCAAATGGCCTATTTTCAATAGCTGCATAGCTATGTAACCAATTACTACCAGATGGTAAATCCCATGGAAATTACAATCACTCACTAGCAAAACCACCATTGTTTGACAAATTGGTTCCCATTAATCACCATTATCAATACGCCAACTCTTATAATCACCATAAGCCAGAACCCATAAGTTCTGCCATTGTTCACCATTGTTCACCATTAATCACCATTATTCACCATTATCAATAAGTCAATTCTTTTAATCACCATAAGCCATGAGCCATAAATTCTGCCATTGTTCACCATTGTTCAGCCATTGTTCACCATTGATCACCATTAATCCCATTTATTCGATCACTATCAACAATTTTGAATCATTAACCATTAAGCACCATTATTAATCATTAGTGATACCAAATTGACTTATTGATGATTTTAAACCACTACTAATCACCATTATCACATGATTTTCCCAGCTAGAAACCTCCATTTATAACGGATTTCCATAGCTATGTTAAATAACCAGAGGGTATGATTCACCATTGTTCACCATTGTTCACCATTAATCATTAATCACTATTATCAATAAGCCAATTCTTATAATCACCATTAAGCCATAAATTCTGCCGCCTCCCAGGTCTACCGAAGGTCCCGAAGGTGGCCTCGGAAGCATCCACCGAGCTCCGCAGCTGGAAAGATCGCGCCAGCCGCAGTCGCAGCTGGGCCCCCATGGTCGCTGTGGAAATCTATGGGAAACATATGGTGAAAAATGGGACATATATCGTGAAATGGGACTTACATGGGAAATTGGACAAAAATGAGACTTAGATGGGGCATAGTAGGGGGTACATGCAGAAAAAACATGGTGAAATATGTTCGACATGCGTGGGAAATTGGGGATATAAGTCTTACATGCGACGACATATATGAGGGAAATTTATGGTGGAAATAAATGGGAAAATATGGGAATAAAGTAAGCAGTTGAAGAAATCACTTTGTGATGAGTTCCTTGAAGTGAGGAGAAAAAAGAGAGAGCGAGAAAGGTAGGAATGATTTGTTGAGTTGTATGGTGTTTTGGTATTCGTGTCTCGGTATTCGTGCATGAAGTATATATGCGTATATAATACGCAATTTACACACGAGATAATACGATGATGATGATGATGATGATGATGATGTTTTTTCCCGAGGGCGTCTGAGCGCAGGGTTCTTCCAATAGTGGGGGTCTGTATCTCATCTTCACACCTTCTCATCTTCACATCTTCTCTCACACCTTCTCATCTTCACATCTTCTCTCACACCTTCTCATCTTCACACCTTTCTCATCTTCACATCTTCTCTCACACCTTCTCATCTTCACATCTTCTCTCCCACCTTCTCATCTTCACATCTTCTCTCACACCTTCTCATCTTCACATCTTCTCTCACACCTTCTCATCTTCACATCTTCTCTCACACCTTCTCATCTTCACATCTTCTCTCACACCTTCTCATCTTCACATCTTCTCTCACACCTTCTCATCTTCACATCTTCTCTCCCACCTTCTCATCTTCACATCTTCTCTCACACCTTCTCATCTTCACATCTTCTCTCCCACCTTCTCATCTTCACATCTTCTCTCCCACCTTCTCATCTTCACATCTTCTCTCACACCTTCTCATCTTCACACCTTCTCATCTTCACATCTTCTCTCACACCTTCTCATCTTCACATCTTCTCTCACACCCTCTCATCTTCACATCTTCTCTCACACCTTCTCATCTTCACATCTTCTCTCACACCTTCTCATCTTCACATCTTCTCTCACACCTTCTCATCTTCACACCTTTCTCATCTTCACATCTTCTCTCACACCTTCTCATCTTCACATCTTCTCTCACACCTTCTCATCTTCACATCTTCTCTCACACCCTTCTCATCTTCACACTTTCTCTCACACCTTCTCATCTTC